CAAATGCTACGCATTCCTGATGGACAAGGCGTATGCAGTCAAAAGTACAACCAACAGCACATTGATCTTTGACCGACACATGTGAGTTATTGTGGAAAAAGAGACCGTTTCCACCTCCACTGTAACGAGTGCACATTCGTTTCAATATCGTAACAACGAACCCACGTCTCTTCGCCTCCTCTGATGTTCGTAAGGAAGTTTTCATCTTCATTGACAGTGGCAAGCAGTTCCTGGCTGATTTCAACATGTTTCTGTTTCTGATCATCAGTCAGGAAATAGGGCACACATTTTGCACTTGCACTACGCTAATGCCCATTTCGTCAGCAGCCTCACGAACAGTTAACCGACGATTTCCTTGGATCACAACACGTACTCGGTCGTTTTGGGATTCGCCTGTTGATGTGAATGGTCCTTCAGGCTTGGGAGCACTCCTGATCGATTTTACGCCGTGTTCAAAACACGTAAACCACTTGTAGCACTACGTATGAGTAATACAGTCCTCCCCGTATGATTGGCTATGCGACTGGCATTTCGTTGTTTTGAGAAGTATGTAGCAAAGTAGCACACACACAGGTTGTTTTTCAAGCTGTTTCATTGTCTCGTTGACACTAATCCGACGAACAGCTTGTGGACGTGCTCATTTCAACGACTGTAGCTCGCCAAATAACACACGGAGCGAAATGCGGCAAATGACAATTTGTTGTCTAAACAAGCCCCCAAGTGACCTTGGTACCCACAGCGCACTCCATCGCCAGTTTGGCGCGCTAGTTCAAAAGATTGTTTACTATAAAACACAACCCCTACATATATATATATGACTACATATATATATATATAGTATCTGGAGATATTGTCAGCTATATTAAGGGTAATGGGATATTTTCCCTGTCTACAGCTTTGCATGACCTTAGAGGCAATTATGTCCAGGAAGTTCAATGCCCAAACATTTTGTTTTGCATCTGAATTGGCTGGAGCCTGGTTCAAGTTTGAAAGAGACAATGAGTCAAACATCACTGGTTTTAAATTTCGTAAAGCTAACTGCTACGGTGGCATCTTTATTATGTTTGCTATTAAAGACATAAGGCAAAAACCCAGACAGAATTCTCAGTCACTGGTCTTTCAAAAGCATTTACCCTTTATTGTACCTCAGAGTGCACAGCATGTGTGGAATAGGGCACACCCTCAATGGCATCCATTTGTTACCGCAGATATATTACTTCTCATTGTTAGCCGGCTAACAGCAATCCTTTTCCTTGGTGCACTGGTGTTAATTTGAGTTATTTTATTGCTTATACTAATTGGCTATTAGTAAAGAAACAGGAAAGTTGTCAGATATCTAGGGAATGATATGGCCTTGCATGGTTTCTGAGGTTGCAAGTGTGGTCGATGTAGTTAAGCTACCCTACTCAGATTCAGTCAATAGGGCCGATTGGTGGGCTAAGTTATCAGAAGCGCCGCGGCAGTCAAACGTCCAATTTCAGGGGTCTGCACAGACTGGTCGTACGGTGATGTCAAGCACCCCGAGGTGATTCACTGGTTGAAACGTTTTTATGCAAGTTTGGAAGAAACTCCTCGATTAAGCTGCTCCTTTGGCGCGCGGTGGACAGGTTAAATGTAAATCATGGTTGTTCCGAAGCGGCTTGGAAAACATGCGCCTTTGGCCGTGCAGGTATAATCAGCCTTCTGTCAATAGTTAGTTTGCAAAGTTACTGTATGGACTGATTGAGAGTAACGTACAGAGCTCCCAGATTGGTATCGTAGTGGATATCAGAAACCTGCTTGTCATTCTTGCAGCCGCTGAATTTATGCGCTTGAGCTTAGCCCGAAAAGCACCCAGAGTGCCACTTGTCGAAGGATGACGATGCGTAACAAGCCGATTCAAAAGATTTAATGAATAAGAAAGCCTTAGTTTCAACTCAGCCTACCGTTCGCTCACATGAAGAGAAGTTTCGACGCTAGCCCTCCATTTGTCTACTTTTCTACTCGCTCATAGGATCTGCCCAAGAGTGGTTTACAGCTGCTTTTGGGATGTAGTTTGTCGTAGCCTATACAAAATGCTAAAAAATAACCACCTTTTTGGATTGTCGGTTGCACTTTTCGTGCTTATCTCTGAATCTCTCGGGGAGTTCCTCTATGATAACCCTGACAACAATTTTTTCTCAATATTATCAACTTGTTACCAAAATGTTTTGTGTAGCCATTTTCCCTTCAATGAGAGCTGAGCGAAGCCGATTTAGTCAGCACTTGTCAAGTTCAGGTTTTCTCACTTATTGTTGCTATTCATATTAGATACAATTATATTACGGTTAACATAACAAGATGCACACTTTAAAGAACGGGGTGTGGGATGCAAGTATTTTCTGTAAATCTACCCGTCCCCCGCACCGAACAGGTTAGTATATTATTGTGCTTTCTGTCGCTGATTTGCACTTAAGTGAGGAGATGCATGAGAAAAGATAAAAACTACCAAATACATGTCATTTGAAAAAGTGATACTTCCATTTGCCTATCACGATAAGGTAGTTGAGCACTATGTCTGTGTCACCCACATTTGACTTGATAGCTATCTGAGTGGATCAAAACTTTCTCGATCTGACAAAAATGAAGCCACCTATTCAAGACCTTCTCTGTTACTTTTACATATAGTCTATAACTTAAAGACTCATTCCATTGCTATCCATGTGTGGAAGAATGTCAAAGCGCATCCCTCTGAAAATAGCTCATCAGTATTTGCATACATGTAACTCTGGTGGTAAGGTGTTAATTTAATTAATAGCAAAAGTCTGGCAGGGGCAAATTTGTTGAATGTCTTGGTATGGTAGTAATTCAAAGCCAACAATTGATGCTTCTGATACGGTTACTTAGGAATTGTGAACAAAAGCGTCTTCAGGCAGAAAAACAATATTGCTGCTAGCTTCGCTCACCGATTTTTCTAGATTTCTTGTTACACCTTAAAAAATACAGAATACCTGAGTGTGTTGGCCCGACCCCTCAACAAGAAGCCTAGCATGTTTGCAAGTTCAATTTCCCAAAATTTAAAAGCCATCACCCTCCTGAGGATGCAACTCTACGGAAATTATTTAAAGGCGGAAAACCCCTGCGGTTTCATAGGTTACTTTAAATCTTTGACTGAATCAAAGTGATGAAAACAAGTTTCACTCTGGGAAACAGTCTTTTGGAAATGTTTGTGGATTTTGCCTTGAAAAGGGTCAAAGTTGTCTCGAATTCTCTAGCCTGTTCAATTTCTGGTAGGTAGCAATGTTCATCGCACCCATCTTGCAGGCAGTTTTCTCATCCTTATTATGTTCGTTAAATCTGTATTCACTAGCCAATAAATGATGCCTATTGTCACAGCCACATTGGAAATGGATAGACTACTATGATTTGATAAAAATATAGGACATGCTTAACTTGATCATCAGCCAGCTACGATTTTTGATGGAAGCACACTGGGTAGTCTTAGGTGCTCTCCCTGGACATCTTTATATTTGCAGCCCAATTCTTAACAGGAGCATTTAAAGGAGAGTACTCAAAACTGTATCAACTATGTTAGCTTGGATTACCTTTTCGTTATGCTAATGTTGCACATACACTTGATCAAAGCTCGGCTTTTGAATTGGCCCCTTGTTACAAATTGTACGATCAAACTCACTTCAACGCAGCATGACCTGCAAAAGAATAGAGACAAAAGTTTGAAACCTGACACTAATGTTTCAGGGTATACTATTTTGCAAACTGTTAGTACTCTTCATTCATTGCATTTGCGTGGTCTGGCAAAGCACATTTTGTTCCACCCTTTTACAAATGTATATCATTGTACGGCTTGAAGCTTTCACCCGGATAATATGGCGCTATTTAAAAGCATTTATGGACCGCATCAGCCGACGCGTGATATTTGGATCACATAGATCTATTAGCACTTTGTTTCTTACATGCACGGCCGACCATACAGATTTTGATTGCACTGAATAATATATCAAAGAACAATGTGGCCACGAGGTTTGTTAACAAGCCGGTTAGTTTGAGGTAAAATGCAGCAGACAATTCCCATCCATAATTGGCAGGCCGAGCTCCTATTACCTTCGAAAAACCGTATAATTTGGAGTCACATCTTAAAGGGAAGTGCCGTCAAATGCCCCCAAGTAAATAACAGTGAATACAATTTAGTGTGATAACTTACCGTTCACCACTTTGATGGAATTTCCTATGCAGACCATTTTTAAAATGTAAGCAAACACAGTTAACGGGTCCACAGAGGTGATAAAGACGTCACATCGACTTGGCTTAGCGTCCCAACTTGAGAACCATTATTCTAATTTTGTGGCTATTTTAGTCTTTATGCCAAAATTCATTTCCCATTCTAGTTGTTAATGGTGAACGCGGGTGTGTTTTCTTAGCAACCGGGCAACGGCAACGCGGAAGCGGAAACGAATTAAATTTGACTAACCCAAATTTCGAGTGAATAAACTTTCACTTATTTAGAGTGTGCTTTGCTAAAAGAATTGCGATCAAAGTAGTGGTTAATGTCTGTGTTTATTTCACGGCGGTAATCAGCTTCGGGATTGAAAACATGGATGTCCTGTCGGTGTGCTGTGATATTCTGAATGATCCTAAAACTTCAAAACATTTGCACATCGAATTACTCTCCAATTTACATTATTCAGCATCGGTTTAACACTTACATTCTTTTATGCAAAAATAATCGAAAACGTATATGTTGCTCCTCTTGCACTATATTTTAGTGTGGTCAATTTTGCCAATATATTTTCCCACATTTTTTTACTTTTTTCACCAATTGCTTGTGTCCAATATCGACATGTTGAACGGTAATGAAATCCGCTAGATCCATTTGCGCTGAGGGTAAGAATTCTAAAATAATTTCATTGTCATACAGCTCAGTTGGCAAGTTTCAGACGTTTCGCATACCGTTTTACTCCAAGTCATGGCCTTGTTCAGCCAAGTGTTTGTCAATACTTTATCCATTCCTGCTCTTTTCTTAGCATACATTATTTGTTGGTGTCCCTTCATGATTTGGAATCTGCTGGTAACGTACGGGGTAATCAAGCGAACCGCACCCCACTTAATGAAATACACTCCCATCATCCAGGTCAGTCCGTATCATGCCATATTTGTTTAACAAATTTTGTGTTCATTAATGTCATTTCTAAGCTACGGTGGCGTTCCATGTAATCGGGATGTTATTACAAACCTGAGAATAGAAGGTATAACGAAAACACCTCAGCGTACATTTGCTTATAAAGAGCTAAATATAGACCATGGGATCATTTTTGAAAATCGACCCACAGCTTCTGAATTTTATTGTCTATTATCCCATGTCGCGGCTTCACTTGTAGTCAAAGTTATACTCATCTGCTCTCAAGCAGAACAACGCCTAAGTTATGTGGATTTTTCTGGCAGGATGACCATTTTACAAAGTGCACATTAGCTGTTTCTCTGAAACCATAGTTACATTTTTAAGCCACAGCTTTTTCTCCTTAGGCAAAAGGTAAAATAACTTATGAAAGCGGTGAAGTTTTGATATCGTAAGTGTATGCACAGTGACTTGGTGGGACAGGTCGCAGGACGCACGAGAGGTGTAGAAATAAGCATTCGTATCATTATATCAGATGCTATATTAAGGACAATGACCAGGCACACGTCACCAGCAAAATTTGCTGTCACTCTTAATTTTTAGCACTGTAAAGCTCCTCATTTTACGCAATATTTACGCTTTTAAAATTGTACTCGACTGGAGTCTAGTACTTCCAAGTGTATGAGTTTAAGTAGAAATGATTTTCGTTTAGTATGGTTTGTGCACGCATACTGAATGCAACAAATAGGGGGCTAGAAGACCTATACTTCTATTGCTCAACCGATATATTATCCAGCCCGCACGCTGCATAATGTTATTTGTTTCCACAAAGTCTCAACGCAGTTCCGCTGTACCACCTCCTATGCAGGTGCGATGCGTTTGCGTATTTTGGGGTACGCAAGGTAGACATCTAAAAAGTTTGAATACCGACATTGATTTTGCCTCAACTGTTGTCTCCGGTAACTGTTCCAATATTTCATCACTAGGTGCTGCAAGAACAGAAGATAATTTTCAAGCTCTAAGTCAGGTCCTGAAATTTTAGACGGGTATACTCGTGCGCTTGCTTAAAGAAGGGGCTTCAACGTAGGAAAGCCATCCAGATATTATATCCGGTAGGTCAGTATGAGGTCCACTCGAACCCGACGATAGGACATGGTGTGCAGCCGCAGTCTCCTGCATCGGTCTTCGGACGACACCACTTAGACTGAAGGTGTACTAGATAGCTACATGCTACACACCTTCCAGTTTTGAACAACACCACGGTGTTTGGACAACAGGTTGGTAAGCCGCATTCCAATATTGGTTATTTGGTGGAAAAGAAGAGGCAAATGACAATCTCTAAACACCAAGGACAGAAGCTGCGTTTGGGCACCCAAAACATATGTCTACCGTTTACCGGCAGCTACTACGTGGTGATCCCGGAATTCAAATTACAACATGCGAGTACACCTCGTTCTTTCACTAGGAGAGTAGGATCTATCATTTGACCGGCCAAAGTGCACGTTCGACCATTACCACACTCCCCCATGCTCCTAATTAACGACTCACTGGGTTGACCTACTGATCCGTACCTGCAGATCGCATTGGGATTCGGTCGAGATAATATTGTAGTACGTCGCTATCGTCTGGAGCACTAAGCACTTATGCTACAATCTGTTCTCAAAAATGGCAAAAGGTTGCAGTAGAAACTGAGGTACTTTTCGACGTGAATAAGGTACAAAGTAGGTCCCAGAAATGTGCTTCGGAGTACGCCACTAGTGGAAAGATACCAGTCAGTCAGAAGACCCACAAATTGTACACCACATCTGTCCAATAAGGAATTCGCTTATCCACCGTTGCGGTAAGCCACCAACCCCACATCCTCAACTTGTAGCTGAACAACATTTTTCACCTTTTCGACAGATATTAATATCATTTTGGAGCAAGTTGAATGAATCCACCTGCATTAGGCTTCACAACCATTCGTGCCGCGTCACAATTAACTTGTTGACGCATGAGCGAGATTGAGCGAAACCATGCTGTTCCACTGCCTGGTATTTCGATTCCGGAAACTGCGATGGAACCTTCTTTCCGGTCTCTTAAGACACCTTAGGTAAAATGGAGGTCAGACAAATTGGCTAATAGCTATTTACGTTATTTCGATCTCTGCCCTTCGGTATAAAATGCATTAATATGTTTGGAAAATAAAACTTAATGTAAGCTTACCTAGTGTTACACAACATGAATACGGTGAATACTTTTGATGCTGCATTTTGTATATAATACTTGAGTTGTATTAAGTTGTTTCTGGACCTATCTGATGAAACAATTAAGTAGCTACCTGCTGATATCACAGCAGAATTCTCATAAAACGTTTAACGAGGTTCCGGAGGCAGGAAGAATAGAGATTTGTCGATACTGACTTTCAAAATAAAATTAGTACACAAACCTTTTAACAACTCTACAAATTCAATGGGTATAAAAGAAAATGTAATATGCTCGTTGTTTAGCTGCGTAAGCTTACTTTGAGACATGTTACTCCTGATAAGCATTTAAACCCCCAAGGGAACAAATATTTCATCGAGTCATACATGCTGCTCACATCGCCGAATTAAAGGTGACAACATATCTTTTGACCCCACTTTTATTTCAGCATTTCTTTGACTCATGGTGGTATATCGCCTGTCATTTAGTATGAGTTGAAGGAGTGGTTGGACGAGTACCGCAAGATGTATAAGTACTGAATTGTGGTTTGTGTTTTGCTCAACAGAAACTTACCGTATTCGCACAAAACTTTTTTTAATTCTAACGTAAAAAGTGTGTTTCCACCAAACTTTTATGCCGCAATAACAATTAGCTGATGTTGATAGATTGTGATCAATAGATTTTCCACAGTGAAACGATTGTAAGTTTGGAGGCTCTGTCCCACTGCTTTTTCTTGGCTGAAATCCTATACTGTACCATATATGGTCTTCTGTTTCACGTTACATTATGTACAAACCCCTGACAGTGGAGATGAATTCTTTCGAGGCTACAGACAAATGTACACCATTGACGAAAATTAGTTAGTGGTAAAAAGGTTAGAAATACATACTTCGTTCTAACACAATTAACATTTTGCATTTCTCTTTCAGCATTTAGTTCCATTGAATTCTTCCGCTAACCCTATTATATTTTGGATATTCAATGCAAAGCACGTCAGGAAACGAAAACCAGCCACAGCAACCTCGTAGGTTGTATTTATGAGTAAGAAATTTGTTAGTTATTTTTTCGCAATTCAAATCTATATCAGTAGTTAGCACTTACAATAATGTTCTCCCATGGGTACAGTTAGGTTATCCCAATAACCGTTAGTTTGCTTTAGCCTTAAGCCTTGAAAAATAGTAATTGCATCTTTAATGTAAAGAGGTGGTCATCATCCGCAAGCAGCGAAGAATTGGTGTGTGTGAGTATAAATAAGTTAATACGCAAGTGATCAATAATATATAAGGATAAGTATGTCACACACAAGGAGTACCTTTCCTTAGAAAACACGTTCATTTTGATAATTTTGCTACGAAGTCTGCTATGTAAATTTTGCATTGTTTTATCAGCATTTGGCTGATGAGCATCAAACTTCTCCCTAAATTTTACTGAGGTATAATCAAAAAGCAAATCCTGCAAACATTGTGTGCATTGTCAATCAAATGGATTACTTATATCGTTTTTTTACTTACTGTAACCTAGTTAGGGCATTGAGATAACAAACATGCAGTGCTGAGCGGCAAATTGAGCTCAAACGGTTGACCGCGCGTATAATGCTGCTGTGTTGCTTATTTCATTGGCCATTAGGCTGAGCATAAAATGGCAACGGATATTCCAGACTGCTGTCCGTCAAGACGGCATTCTCATTGGAAAATTTTCCAGGAGCTATATTATCTTAAGGAAAAGCAAATGTATGGGACACAACTCACCTACCATGCGCACTTCCCACCTCACCGCTTTATAGTTAAACAGTAGCTGCTTTGTGCCAAGCGTATGCAATTGCAGTTCAGAATGCGTTCATAATGCTTAACCTGACATGCTTTACTCGGATAAAACATCAATTTGTACATCTCGGCTTATTCCAGGTTTCAAAGTCAAAGTGAGTGAGAGAAACTTTTATTGCTAATTAAGCGCATAAGTGGTTTACGAGACTAAATGAGAGGACTGCAGAATACAGTGAATAAAACAGACCTAACCAATCAGGAGAGTGCAGCTGCGCCAATCATAGACTGACACAGTGGCTGCCCTGGTATTCGGTTAATTTTAAATTTAGGCGCTGAGCGTTTGCTTGTGTATTTTGAACAAAGGTTACTTGTACGGTGCTTGTTGAAAATGTTCGTATTCTTTTACTTTTTTTCAGACGTGTGTAGCAATAGTGCTATCCGCAAAGACATCAATCAGACTGAGGTTGTAGTACGATGGTATACACACTGCACCGATTGTCACTCCTGTTTGGCACACACTGTTTCCACTATGATACGCGACATCCCCTCTAACATTCTGGGTAATGGAAACCTAAAAGTTAACCTAAAATTACTCTCACCGTGACTTTTCATTACCAAGCTTTTAATTCGAAAGAATTCAGCTAAAGCTGTGAAAGGAATTCTGTTGTAATTTACGTCTTCCAAATTTCCGCATTCCCATGTCTAATATTAACCGGGTACTACTAGCACAGCGGTCTGATTTATGTCTGTACGTCTGTATGAAATCTGGCACTGATGTTTTAGAGTAAACTTAAAACCAATTTTCTTAACTTTTACTTAAATCGAGATTAAAACTTATAAAAACATCGATTATAGATACTCCCTGGCTACCTCGGTAGGTGGTGTCCCAGTTTACAACGCCTAGGAAACAGCCCATTTAAAAATATTTGAAAGCATTGGCATTCCAGCGCATAGATTTTAACGAGCTTTATAATTCCTCAAACACTAGATCGCCGTCGTAATAAAAATGATTAAACCGTCACTAGTTTATTGTCGTCATAAACAGAAAAAATTATGCTAATCAAGCTTCGGTCCCTAATATTATTAGGAGATCCGGAAGGCACTAACCTGACTAGAATTTCCCAGTAATCATGCAAAACGTATTCAATTTAAAGGAGTGAATGCACCCACAATCTGATGAATATCACATGTAAATTTCTCACAAATGACTTTGTAGCTCTCATGTCTATCCAAGCGATCGAAAACAAACAGCTATATGTTAATCGGCTTTCATTTCCAAAATTAATTTTAACTTCGTTATCATCAACTTATTAGCTGGACAACTGTTTGAAACAGGTTTGTATTTAAGCTGATTTATTGTCTCCCTCTAGGTTGTAACAATAGTAGATGGCAACACATTAACCTACGTAATACAAACAAAGTATGGTGCGGGACTCTTATTTGGGTAAATAATTTCTTAGTGTTTTCGATATTTGTGTAACTTTAACGCCATTCTCAGCCATTCTATCTCGATATATTTGACGATAATGAGGTGTGAATTGTCGGTACTTATCTTTCAATACAAAACAATTGAACCCGCAAACAGTGTCGTATGGAAGTGCTTGACCTTAAGTTGTGATGCGTGAAGGCAGTCGTAGGTTGGCATTAACAACAAAGTATAGCATATTGCGGAATAATTTACACTGACGTGCTTCCGGTCAGTATAAAAGATGTCGTTGAATAGGTATTTGAGACCACAGGCCTGATATTCGCTGCAATATAAAAGCTGAAGTTGACCAAACAGCTACTAAGTGTACCGTGGTAGTTTACCACGTAACATTATTCTGATGTAGAATTACCATTCGTAAATCCAATCTTAAGACCTAAATGCACCCGGATCAGTGCCACAGCTCATCGCCACTGCTCCTTCCTCTAAAACCTAAGGATCCTAATTTCTCGAATTAAATAAGACAATTACCGAATTACGAAAGAAGATGGAAACGTAATGCTCAGAGCTCTTCTGTTCACTGGGTTGTGCTGAATAGAACTGGGTGATGAATTACTTTAGCTCACAGAATGAAATTCAAGCACGTCAAGTCTGTTTTGACACAGTGCCCCGTACCGTATATCCGTGGATGGTACAAAGGAAGGCCAACCATTCTACGGACGTTATCAAGCTGGTGCTTCCTTTCGAAGGATTAAGCTAGCCGTTGCATACTTGTCTAAGTAACATGAGAACTGGAGCAATTTTTATCTACTATTTTGACACAGTCATGCGAAACGCCCACGTTGAGCATTGCTCTACGAATGTCCTCAAAACTAGCTACAATTGAATTGGGCAAACGTAGGCGATGCGTATTGACCTTGCAAACCTGGCCATAGAGAAATAGGTGTTTTACTTAATTCACTGATGTCTTATAGTAAATGTTTGACAATTGCAATGGTGTGAAGCTGAGAAAACACGAAACATTACAGCGCGACATTTTTCATTTTCTTAAATTACATGAACTATCAACAGAATAGTGCCTAGAAGTCTGCCAAACTCGTACACATCAAGCATAAGAATCATAGCTCATTAGATCAGCATAATATTTTCAAAAGTAGAGTATAGAAAATCAGTATCTTCTAATTCATCAGCAAGCCACAGTTGCCAGGTCCATGTTATGTAGACATAAATATTTCAAATGAATATTGTTTTCCTGAATGTTTAGGCAACGGACTCACAGGACCACGGTGGAGTCGTGAAACTGAAATGTTCAAAGTACAAAAGCTTATTTGTTCTTCAGCCCAGTCTTCCCCAGAATATATGATTTGAACCACATCAAGACGCGTGAGATATCAACGTATTTGTGTAACCGTTATCCGTTTGCAAAGCATGACCTTCGTGTGCATTTTTGCAAATACAATATCTGGTTTCGTTCCACTTCCACTCCAGTGTCGACACTTTCCTCCTGGATTGGAAAAGAATTATTGTGCATCGCTTTCAATAGTAATGAATGAACTTCCTGCATTGCGCATTCCCTTAAACGTGAAACTCTGATACAGCAACTAATTGAATTATAGTTTTAGTACTTACAGTCTGAACAATGTTATGTTAACGGAATGTAAAGTTGCGGTAACTTATAGACAAATCGAATTTGAAAAGCAAGCTTGACCCATCACCAGCTGTAAGACGCTTGATCCGAAAACAGAATACTTTAATATAGTTGGCAGCGTAAATACACTGAGGTCAATACTTCTACTAAACAGAGTTTTCTGTTTACTCTTTAAAGAGGAATTGTGTTCACATGTTCCTTATGTACAACAACAGAAGTCAAGTGCTTGAGAGTAATCGCAAATCAGTTGGTTGCTTTTAAACTGTGTGTGCTTGCAAATATCACTTACGTTTATTCGTCACACCGAAGTTATGTTTCGCCGCACTTCTGTGCTTATAACACAGACGTATCCCCTTAAATAATGCGTGTTGATATATATGCAAATATATAAATACTGCATGTACCTTAACTACCGACCGAAATGCAAACTCTTTTAGTTTTATGCATTTTGTGCACATCTTTGGTAAAGGTGTTCGGTAACTCTGGAACCACAGCAACAAGACAATGATTGACTTGAAAGAACGCGATGTTGAAGAAAGTGACATGCGTTTCCCACATTCATCAAATTACTTGTAATAAATTCCATAGTGTGTTATAAGCATGCAGATGGATCGTTGTTCGCTGTGCAAATTAATTGCCTGCGCATTTTTAAACTGCATTGACTATACTGTCTACGATGTGAACGGACGTCCCTACTGTTAAAGGGAAATAAAGTCAGGTTGCGACCGTATGTGGAGTTCCAACCGACATTGAACTATGATTTATAACGGGTAAAAAGCAAACGTCTGACAAGTGCTACAGAATGACTGGAGTGAGTATTGTAAACTAAAATTTAAACTGATAAGAAGAAAAGAAAAATTCAGGTGGAAGGTTAATCATTGAGTTATTCACATGAACGTATATGCTCACCGCCTCATCGCTAAGACAGCGGGTTGATGAGCACACTGTTTGGTGTGCGTTACTTCCATTTTTCGATGGAAACGGACATTGTCAAGTAATGTAAATGGAATAAAGTGCAGTCCAGTCGTTTCCTAAACTACGTTAGGGCAACATGTACTTGAGTTGGAATATCTGGCTAGCTTCCGGAAACCAAAAAGAAGAAAACAATATTTCGGCAATTGATTAGGCCGTAATGTGTGGTTACTTAGTTCTAGTGGTCGCTCAGTTTGGCATTTTGGCTGACTGCAGCAGGTCGCGACAAGTGCTATTGGGGTTTTCTAGTGGTTGGTACACCACGGTAAAGTCTCTTCGCTGGCGTCCATATTCATTGTTGTATAAGCCTTGGTCTGGCAGTCTGTCTTGTTATGGCGAGTTAAACATCCACCTAAAGATTTTTGTTACTTTACGCTTAGCGTTTCACAAGTACCAAGCACTTAGTTGCACCAAAATCTCCAGGCTTGGTTTGCGTATTCTACATAAGGTCTCAAGTAGGTATTCCTTATTTTCTGGAAAATAGATGACGCGAAATTGACGAATGCCTTCGTAAGAGGCCAGGATGATAATTAAAGCTTCTCGATATCTTTTAGCAACTTGCGAGCAGTCAAGGCTATCCGACACGATTGTCATCAGCGTCAGTTTCCTGTTTAGCGTGTTGTAAAAGCCGTTCTTCCAGTTGATATTCGTGAGTACATTGGTGGCGCATGCTTCGAAATTTGCACTTCGGATGACAGTGTATAGGCTCTGTCGAGGTCGTTATTTAGTGCTGCGTGATCGTCTACTATGTTCAAATCATTCCACATCTTGACATCGTCTGCAAATAGAGGTAGTTTGACTGGGTCACTAAAAAGTCGTTGCTGAATACTAGAAATAAACGCGGTCCCAGAACCGATCCTTGGGCAAACAGCACTAGACTACAACTGGGTCCGTGATGGAGTTATGAACTCTAAACTTCAGCCAACGTTGAATATGGAAGTCGCTTACACAGAGCAGCGCATGGTTACAGATTCCACTTTGTATCTTACCATCTACCTTTCGGTTGCATCAATCCTGTGCTCCTCCTAATTGTGAAATTCATGCTATTGATCTTCCAACAGCACATGCAGCTTACCCTCATTCGGATATCCCCAAGTTACACCATCGTCTAAGTAAATTTAAACGGAATTATTTCCCACAAATTATGGTTCCAGCAAATCAGCTAATCGTACGGCTTAAGTGCTCAAATTCACACCTACTGCCTTCTGGTACTTTTGTCACTTACAGTAACTTCTCCACTGTGCTACGCAAAACTTATTCCGCAAGAGATTTTCTTGACTAACTAATTCAGTTGTGGCTCGTGCAAGCTGAGTCGACGCAGTAGAGCGTAGCCACAACATAGAGGTAATCTTCGTAGATTTTCTCCATTCCTTTTGACACTGTCCCTCATTGCAGACGCTTACTAAACCTGACGTCTAACGAGATATTTGGTAGCGCCTTTAATTATGTGTCTGCTTTCCCGGAGAGGAGTGGACGGTTTGTACACGTGTGGCGCAACCTATCTCTTATATAAGTGGTTCTTGTTATTGTTACACAGGCCTCAGTATTAGGATCATTGCTGTAAGCAATTTATGTAAATTACTTGTCCAATGATCTGGAATTCCTTTAGCTAATTTTTGCTGACAATAATAAGCACTGGAAATATGTACATATCCATGGATGTTCTAACGCAATTCAAAGTGTCTTGCATAAGCTCTAGGAATTGTCTACCTTCTGGCTAACACTCATAAATCGGACTGTCTTCTATTCTCAGAATAGATAAATTGTCAGCGGTAGTGAAACAGCTGTTGTCACCAATCAGGTTGATTCAGTAGTTATCTCCTTATCAGCCTTTCACTCTAGTGACAATCGGAAGAAGACTGTCTGTAGAGAGCTCCGTATAATGTGGTTTATTCACCGTACCTTCGGGGAATTAACGGCCGATATGTTTATGCAGTTGTTCTCGGATTTTATTCAGACCTGTCCACCACGTCTTATCTGAGACGAGAGGTACTTGGATAGATTTTTACGAGTGGGTACTAGTTTGGTGTAGAGCATACAGGGACAGACGTATGCCGAACGCTTCGCTAGCTTGGAGATCTACAGACTGTACCACCGGCAGATTAGAGAGGCTTTTATCCTCCCTTACTTTATTCTGACGGGAACTATCAGCCCAGACATCTCATGACCATCTTGTACCGCTAAATTACCCAGTCTCCGCAATCATCCGCTCACCGATCGGATAAGAACGGAGACCCGTTTGTTACAGAAACTCGCTTCCTGACCACGTTGTTATGGAACTAACGGTTAGGGGTTTTGCGCGCTGGCAGGAAACTCTTGAGGGGCAAAACTAAACCATGCCTTTCTCCTAAATGATTTGGTAATTCTTTACCTTCTTAGCTCTGTGAATAGACTGATATAATGACAAGCTCAAAATCCTACGCAACACGGCTAAATACAGAAGATCTTCACTGTCTGAACAGCAGCGAGCGGTCGTGTGACCCAACCAAAATTCAAGCGCCCAAGACAGCTTGGAAAACCTCCACTTGTTGACCTCCAAAGGATTGTTGCAATCTCTATACTAAGTTCAACCTCCACAAACTAACTTTTGGTCACCAGCTAATATTCCGCTTGTACGCATGCATAACTTGGTTGAACTCTTTCATCGTCAGACTTCATAGCCTCGGAATATAGTTATTCTAACCCAAACGTGACTGAAATATGAGACTTCCAACCTTGAAACTACTCAAACCGGTGTCACTTCTCCTGGAAGACAGAGCAAGTGAGGGAAGGATGTGCTCAATTATTACAAAACGCACCACAGTGAATTCGTAGACGATCTCCAAACGCTTCTTACTGACCCCAATGGGTACAATTTAAGGTTGAAGGACGACGACATGTGCCCTGTGTACCTATATTCCTATGGCCCAAGCCCATTCTGCAAGTGGACCTCAAAACAATATGGGTATTACACAATGTGATTAAGCAGAAATGCAGCTATATCCTCAATACAAAAGATTGTAACACCCATGCTTTGGCAACTCCAGCAACCGTAAATGATAAGTACATGGCCAACCTGCAAGATATCATCTCTTATACATTGTTATCCAGTCACACCAACCATACCACCAGATTCAGAACAACGAAAAAGCCATCGATGTTACGTCATGTACTTACAAACGAGAAGCTGATGGTTACTGGAGTAAATGCGCGCAGACCTTTGGGTGGAAGCACTCACGTGACTCTGTTGTTTGATTACAATTTTATCTGATGCAAAATGTGAAAGGACGTAATCTACTAGACATTATGATGTAATGCCCGCGTTCGTCAAAAACACAAGCTAGACGTTCATGACTGAGTGCACCCCAGAGACATCCAGAAATACATTCTTAAAAACCTTCGCATTAATACTCACAGAATCGTACGCTCAAATTCTTGCTATCACCCCCTTCAGCCAAAATCCTCTCTGAAAAACCGAACGTGCAACTGTGTGTTCCTAAGGGAGCGAACATAGCGCATGTAAAAAACAATCCAACCTTTTAAAATTGGATATCGTACGTATCTCAACACAACTCATACATGCAGATGGTTCATGCTGGTAAGTCAAAAACACACAGGAGCTAGCGAAAAGATTCTTTTCTAACCACAGCCTTCTTTACGAACACTGCAACAGTTATCGCAATGTGCAGCGCGTTATCCATTCACATAATGCGGTTTTTGGGTACACGCAAGGAGAGTGGCGGCCAACCTCTTACAGGACCAGTAACTACCCATGTTCCAGGAGTTACAAGCCTCGGACTCTATTCCTGCTTCTGTCACTTCACCAGCAGTTTTGTTCTGCTTCACCTTCACTGT